TCCACCTAGGGTCGTGCTGGCACCCTCTAAATGTGCCAGCACTACATAAGCAGTTGACAAGCCTAACTGCTACGTAGTTGGCATGCTCTGATCATGCCACTTATCCACATGAAGTTACCTAATATCAGCCACCTTCTATATATCAACATAGTGGAGGAAAACTGACTTCAACTCCTGTGTGTTGTCCCCTCAGATCATTACCACCTACATGGGAAGTTACTCAGCACACCCCCACTCCCCTATAATATATGCCATGAGTGGGAAGTGTTAGTAACTTCCTCCAACCAACTGAGCCCACTTAACCACATATTCTATAACCATAAGCCATGACTTGTGTGGTCTATGCATAATCTGAGCCAACCTTGTGAACCTGGTCCGTGCCAAGCCCACTAATCTGCACCCACATATAACCGTCTCTGAGTGCACGGCATGCCAAGCCATGCACGCCCATGTGCACGTCCGAGTGTGAACCCGAATACACGCCCCTAAGCGCACTGCTACATGCCGGTGTGCACGCTGGTGCTCACCAATGCGCTCCATGCTTGAACGCCCGTGTGCACATGGCTGCACGCCCATGCGCACTGGACGCTTGCCCGCACGCCTATCAAGCCCTTCATTAGTTTGGATACTCCCCTCTTATGCAACCATCTTGGAGTGGTGCAACACGTGCCCATACACGTTGGCTAAGCCCTCTAAGTAAGCCATGCCATAGCCTAATTGATGTGCTCAATAGACTCCTCTAGTATAGTCTTAAGGAAAATCAGCACTCTGACAGGAGTAAACATCACCCATGCTTGAGGAGTCATAAAGGCCTTTTAAGCCCTTCCTGACATCCAAATCGAGTGCCGTCTGCGCCAACCAGCTTCTATGGACTCAAGGTACCTCCCATAAAGATCCCGAGCCAAAACTCCAAAGTTCACTTTTTTGCCATATTCACGAAAACGCCACTGGGCACCCCCAGTGCACGCTGTGTGCACGCTTAGCATCCTGTGCACACTAAAAACCCACTGAGCACCCTCATGGCTATCTAACCAAAGCCAAAGTGTTCCCAAGACATGGCATGACCTTGAAATGCCTATGTCTTCCCTTGGACAAATGTCAAAGGGCTAACAAACCACCCCCACCAGAACAAGTCGACGCCCTCGTCGACTTGTCCAAGTACTCCCTTACCTATTTATCAAACTGCCACAATGTCACATCCCTTTCCCAACTCACCTCTGCTTCACTGCGTCCTTTCCACTGCACCAAGTAATCAGTTATGCGATTTTTCTTACTCTGACACTGGGTCTGGTGAGACAAAATCTTCTCCACCTCCTTGATAAACTGCAACTGAATAATAGGCGGGGCTCTCTTAGCCTGTTGTCTTGATGTATCTGTAGTGTCCTCATGAAAAGGCTTGAGGAAACTCACATGAAAAGTAGGATGGACCTTCAGTCTCTCAGGTAACTGTGATCTGTAAGTAACATTCCCCACTTTCTTTACAACTTCAAAGGGACCATCATACTTCTGAACCAGCCCTCTGTTAATAGTCTTGCTGCTTATCTTCTTCCAAATCTTTGGAGTCAATTTCAACAGAACTTTGTCTCCCACTTGGAACTCTAATGGCCTTCTCTCTTTATCTGTATACTTTTTCATCCTTCTAGCAGCCTTGGCAAGGCTGTCTTGCGCTTCTTCCACTATCTCTTACATGGAATGAGCATACCTGTATGCTGCATGGCATCTTCCATCAGTCCTCTGCACTGCCACCTCCTGTGGTGTGCGAGGTTGTTGCCCTGTTGCCAACTCAAAAGGACTCATTCCTATTGCTGAAGACCTGTGCAAATTATAAGAAAATTGTGCAGTGTCTAGCAACTCTAGCCAATTTTTTTGACTTGCAGTGACATAGTGCCTCAGGTACTCTTCTAATAACTGATTCATCCTTTCAGTCTGTCCATCAGTCTAAGAATGGTTTGCTGTGGAGAACTTCAGTTCAGAACCCATCAAGCCAAATAGCACTGTCTAGAACCTTCCCGTAAATTTGGTGTCACGATCACTAACAATATCTTCGGGCAAGCCAAAATATTTCACCACAAACTTATGAAATAAACCAGTAGCAACTTTCGCTGGGCATGCATGTGGTGCAGCAATGAAAATTGCATACTTAGAGAATCTATCTACTACAACAAAAATAGATCTCATACCTTCCACCTTAGGAAAACCAGAAATGAAGTCCATTAAAACTGACTGCCATGGACGCTCTGGTATAGGCAAGGGTTGTAGTAGCCCTGCCATCTTCTTCCTCTTATGTTTGTCTTTCTGATAGACCAAGCAAATCTTGACATATAACTCTATGTCATCCTCCATCTTGGGCTAATAATATGATCTAGATATCAACGCCAGCATTCTATCCACCCCTGGATGTCTAGCCCACTGAGGATCATGCATCTCCCGCATTAGTTCCCGTCTCAGCCCTCCAACAGGAACATATAATCTACCTCCTCTGGCGTAGAGTAGATTATCTTCAATCCAGTACTTTCTGACTTCACCATCAGTAACCTGTTGCTTGAGTTTCTGATAGGCATTGTCGGACTGAGATTGTTCTTTGATTTTGTCAAGGAAATTAGTATACATTGTTGTAAGCGATGCCACATACTCCTACACTTCTCTCCTACTCAAGGAATCAACAACCTAATTCTGCTTTCCAGGTCTGTGAACCCACACAAAGTTGAACTCCCCTAAAAACTCCTGCCAACGAGCTTGCTTTGGAGTAAGCTTCTTCTGTGCCTTGAAGTAGGTATTGGCCATATTATCAGTCACCACTGTAAACTTGGTACCCAACAGATAGTGCTTCCATGCGTCAAGACAATGTATCACTACAGTCATATCCTTCTCGTGAGTTGTATACCTCTACTCAGCATCCTTAAGCTTCCTGCTTTCAAAGGCACAGGGGTGTCCCTCTTAGACTAAGACCCCGCCAATTGCTCTATCAGAGGCATCAGTATGCACTTCAAATGGCAAACCAAAGTCAGGCAGTCTCAAGACCGATTCTGTAGACACTGCCTACTTAAGCATCTCAAAAGCTTTCTGGCACTTCTCAGACCAAACCCACTGTTTGTCCTTCTTCAGCAAGTCCGTTAAAGGACTGACCTTCTTGGAATACCCCTTTATAAACCTTCTATAGTAGTTTGCCAATCCTAGAAAGGATCTCAACTCTGTAACTTTAGTTGGTACAGACCAATCAAGAATGGCTTTCACCTTTCTCTCATCCGTTCGGACATGGCCTTTACTGATCTAGTGTCCCAAAAATAACACTTCTTGGCGATAAAACTCACACTTCTCCTTTTTGACATACAACTAAAACTCCTTCAGTTTTGAGAAAACCAATCTCAAGTGTTTTGAGTGATCTTTTAAGGACTCACTATAGACTACTATATCATCCAAATAAACAATAACAAAACGATTGATGTAGTCATAAAACACATTATTCATTAAGTTACAGAAGGTTACCAGGGCATTAGTTAGCCCAAACGGCATTACAAGAAATTCATAAGACCCATAATGAGTTACACATACAGTTTTACGTTCATCTCCTTCTGCTATACGCACTTGCTAGTAGCCTGCACGTAAATCCAGCTTAGTAAAGTAGGATGCCCTTGACAACCTATTAAATAAACCTGCGACATTGGGCACTAGGTACTTTTTCTTCATAGTCACCTTATTTAGAGCCTTATAGTCCACACACATCTGTATTAAGCCATCATGCTTCTTCTAGAACAACACTGGCACGCCATACGGTGCCTTGGATGGTTGAATATAGCCAGACTCCAGTAACTCATCCAACTGTCTACGCAGTTCAGCTAATTCTGAAGGTGCCATCTGGTATAGGGCCTGAGCAGGAGCCTAGCACCTGGCTCCAACTCTATCTTGTGATCAACATCACGTCGAGGGGGCAATTGCTTGGGTAGTTTTGGTGGCATCATTTCTGCAAATTCCTCTAGAATTTCAGCAACATAATCCAAAACTTCAACAAACTGGTTCGGTTTGATCTCTATCATAGCTGCAAGAGAGGTAGAGTCTCCCTTCTTCAAACCTATTTTCACTTGCAATGCAGAGATTATTTTGATGCAGCCATATTTACGATCTTCCTTCTTCTGGTGCCTATAAAGAGCCACTGATGGAATAAAACATGGACAATCCTTGTCCCAAATAAAAACTCCTCCTAAATATGGCACAACTACCACTCTAGCTTTCGTAAGGAAATCAATTCCAAGAATTAGATCAAAATCATCTAAGGGTACAGCCATAAAACTAACTATGCCCTCCCAACAACCAACTTTCATAGAAGTGGTGGCCATGCTTAAGACAGGCTTGGCTTTAAAATTCACAACTTTCATCTTATTAGCATGGAATTAACTTTAAATTAAAGTTACTTACTTCCCTCTGCGCAATGAAGTTATGAGTGGCCCCCGTGTCCACCATTGCCAAAACTTCCTTGCCGCTCAGCGTCACTTGAATGAACATTAGCCCTTTCAACTCCATGGATTGTTCTTCCGTAAGAGCATTCTACATTTACAGAGGATTGACTCGGGTTAGACCACATTCCGAGTTTGAATCTCCTTTTGAATCAGTGACAATAGCACTCAGCTTCTCCCTCTTGGGGCAGTCCCTAACACGGTGGGGACCATTGCAGATGAAACAACCGGAGTTGGGCTTAGTCCCACTGCTACTCCCTTTGTTATTGTAATCTGCCTTGGCCTTGACAAAGCCACTAGCTATATCCTTCTTTTGATTCTTGTCCTTCTTCTTATCCTTGAACCTAAAGGACTGACCTTTATCTTTCTTCCATTTCTTGGACTTCTTCTTATCTTGTGTAGTAGACCCAGTCATCTTAAAATCTACAAGACAATCTACCGCTGTCATGGCAATAGGAAGGTCCCTCACAACTTGCCTACGGAGTTTTGCCTGAGCCCATGGTTGCAATCCGGACATAAAATTGAAAACTTGTCCTCCTCTAATATATTTTAAATGTCCAACATCAAGGAACTAAAGTCCTTCACATAGTCATGAACGGTGCCTATGTGCTTTAATTTCTTTAGAGATTCCCTTGCAATCCATGCAGTGTTTAGAGGCAAGAATTGGTCCTTCAATTCCTTCTTAAGGGTCTCCCAAACTTTAATCCGAGGCCTACCCGCAGAAACATCATCCTCTGTCCATGTGCGCCACCATAGTTTTGCATCACCAGACAGATACATGCTTGTAATGGTCACCTTCTCACCATCGAGGATCCGAGCAGCCTTGAAATACTGCTCCATGTCCCATAGGAAAATTTTCAACTCTTTTGCATTTCGGGTGCCACTGAAAGACTTGGGATTCGGCACCTTGATCTTCTGTGAAAGAGGATCACCACCGCCTCTAGAACTCCCATGAATGGACCTCTTCACCAAGATTTCCATTTCAGAAGCCAAGTTTTTGATTTGAACAATAAGGTTCTCTGCACCATCTTGTACTTCTATTTCTGTAGGAAAACCCACAAACTCTTCCAAACGGGAAACTCTCTCACGAATATTGCCTCCAGCCATCATAGAACGGGGCTCTGATACCAATTGTTACAGGGCTAAATCACACCACACATTTTTGCCTCTGTAATGGCACTTGGGGCCACCAAGTCTTAGCCAACACACAACATAATACAAATAATACTGAAATGTAAAGAAGATACACACAATTTACAGGGACAAGCCCCAACATTTGCTCATATTAAATATATTACAAAGGAACACAAGTTCGTAGAAGAAACCAAGACTCCACACACACACTGTGTTTCACTCCTTTTTGTCTTTTACAAACCACATTAGCTACAATATATAGTCAAACTCTCAAAACCACCCATAACTGCCCACTAAAGTGGTGGATGACACCCCCATCCACCTAGGGTCGTGCTAGCACCCTCTAAGTGTGCCAGCACTACATAAGCAGTTGACAAGCCTAACTGCTACGTAGTTGGCATGCTTTGATCATGCCACTTGTCCACAGGAAGTTACCCAATATCAGCCACCTTCTATCTATCAGCATAGTAGAGGAAAACTGACTTCAACTCCTGTGTGTTGTCCCCTCAGATCATTGCCACCTGTATAGGAAGTTACTCAGCACACCTCTACTCCCACATAATATATGCCATGAGTGGGAAGTGTTAGTAACTTCCTCCAACCAACTGAGCCCACTTAGCCACATATTCTATAACCATAAGCCATGACTTGTGTGGTCTATGCATAATCTGAGCCAACCTTGTGAACCTGGTCCATGTCAAGCCCACTAATCTGCACCTACATATAATCGTCTCTAAGTGCACGGCGTGCTAAGCCATGCACGCCCGTGTGCATGTCCGAGTGTGAACCAGGATGCACGCCCCTAAGCGCGCTACTGCAAGCCGGTGCGCACACTAGTGCTCACCAATGTGCACCATGCTTGAATGCCTGTGTGCACGTGGCTGCACACCCATGCACACTGGACGCCTACCCGCACGCCCATCAAGCCCTTTATTAGTTTGGATGCTCCCCTCTTATGCAACCATCTTGGAGTGGTGTAACACGTGCCCATGCACATTGGCTAAGCCCTTTAAGCAAGCCATGCCATAGCCCAATTGATGTGCTCAACAGACCCCCCCCCCCCCAATATAGTCTTAAGGAAAATCAGCACTCTGACAGGAGCAAACATCACCCATGCTTGAGGAGTCATAAAGGTCTTTCAAGCTCGTCCCGACATCCAAATCGAGTACCATTTGTGCTAACCAGCTTCTATGGACTCAAGGTGCCTCCCATAAAGATCCCGAGCCAAAACTCCAAAGTTCACTTTTTCACCATATTCACGAAAACGCCACTAGGTACCCCCAGTGCACGTTGAGCATCCTTCTAAGCATCCTGTGTGCACACTGAGCATCCTGTGCACACTGACAACCCACTGAGCACCCTCATAGTTGTCTAACCAAAGCCAAAATGTTCCCAATACATGGCATGGCCTTGAAATGCCTATATCTTCCCTTGGACAAATGTCAAGGGGCTAACACATATCTACTTCATATAATTGTCTGGAATGTTCGGGACATAGTTCAGACCTCTAGGACCATTAACAATAGAGAATAGAGAGGTTGAAGGTCGTTGGAGATGAAGAAGACGGAGGATAACAGGAGTAGAGGCAGCTCTATTACTGAACTTCACCTATGCGCGGGATTTGGCTACTGTATTTGGTTTTGGGGTATTTCAGGGCTATGTAGGTTAATTTAAGAGTTGTAAATGACAACGATGGATATGTTAAATACTCAGGATGCATAATTTATAATAATATGGCATGGACTTGAATAATATGAAATTTAAATAATTTGCATGTTGTAAACAGATGATTTAATTGCTTAATGTTAATTTAGCAAGTTAAATGTATGTTGTATGATCTTACTCGTGCATTAGTAGTACAATATATTTAGTTTATTATCTGATTTTATTATGCTTGGTTCTGGATTTAATTGATGTTTTATTTTGCTTATTTCATCAATTATTGGATTGTGTGGATGATTTTAATCATATATTGACTGCATAATATGATCATGTATATATCTGATTTCTATTATGCTTATTTCTAGATGTATTTGATGTTGATATTATAATTGTTGCATCATTTATGGATCATATGCATTATATGCACCAGTATGGGATGGTGGCATATTAGGGACGGATTAACTAAAAACGTTAAGTCCTACCTATTCATGTATAACAGAATGGATTAACTAAAATGTTAAATCCTACATATATTCATGTCAGGTCAACTGAATCAGTTGGATGACTACTATCTGTTTATTTTACCTACTATTCAGGTTGAGGCAGACCTATAGCTTTGTGAGTATCCTATAGTGTGTATCTATATATATATATATATATATATAGACTACTTAGCTATTGTTGAGTTTGACTAAGATGTATACGTGTATCGGGTCTCTGTTTGGACTGTAGTAGAGTAGAACTTGTTTGTGGGCCTAATCCATTATTATTTTTCAGGTGTTCGATAGTTCCAGTCTTAGAGATTGTTCATGCCGAACAGAGATAGTTATTCACTCTTCCGACTATATATGACTGTTCTTTATGTTCTAATTTTGGATTTAATTACAGTTTAGTTATTATTAGGGGTCCACTAGATGGATTCTCGAGTTGTAATGATATCGGAGGTTTTGAATTACTCTATTTAGATGATGATTTATTTATTAAGTTATGGATTTATTATTTAGTTTCTTTCAGCTTAATTATTATTTATTATTTAATTCTTTTTGTATTTTATGCTTGTTTAAATATTAATTGTTTAGTATCCCTCGTATCTGTGCTTGGACTTGATCACCTGTGGCTCTAGAATCGAGGGGTATCATAGTAATAATAAGTTCGTACCCTCTCGGATCTAATTTTTATGTCGGAGAAGGAGTCGGTGATGATGAACTTCTACTTTCGGTTGGTCATCTGAATGCCCTTCGCTTTCCTCTTCATCCTTTTTACCACCTTATGTTTCACACACTCGATATTTCATTTTTACAAGTAAACCTTAATTTCCCCCAGACTATTTCTTCTCTGTTGGTCTGTAGCAAAATTGAATGGCTGGATCTTAGGTTAGTAAACCTCTTAGTTAACTACAAGATTAACAAACACCAGGGCAAACTTGGTAGATACTTTCTCTCTATATTTAGTACTACCTAAAAAATTTGTGTCTAGCTTTCATCGTCAGAGAAGATTTGGAAAGAAAGAATGATTATTATAAAAGGGAATTAGAAGGTCCCTTTGTCTAATAATTTCCCTATTTCTCAAAGATTTGGCAAACTAGGTATCAAGGCCCTTCCTTTATTTCATTCAAGTTGCTCCAGGTGTTTTTCATGTCAAAAAATTTTGTTTCATCATATTTATGAGTCTTGTGGTTTAATTTCATCTTCTTTTCCAGCTTCAGTTGCCAAAGGTAAACTTTTTTTCTTGAAGGAGAAGGTGTGGAAGTGTCCTTCGTCAATCAAGTCACTCCTGTCCTCATTTAATTTGATGGGTTTAGCTGCTTCAGCTTTGAAAGTTATAGCGATGGACCTATCCCTTCTTGCTTTTAAAGTCGTAGAGCCTATACCTGAGGAACTTCAACGGATGAAAGAGCTGAAGAGGAAAGCTGAAGAGCTAGATCTTTTTGAGGTAATCGGTCAGCCAGAGAATGTGGAATAGGATAGCTCCATACCTTCACTTCATAAGAGAGCTAAAAAATACACAAAGAAGCCCGAGCTAGTGCCACCGACTCAAACCGTGAGTAAGGGTAAAGGTAAGCAGGGCGAGAAAGTGGTTGGAGAGGAGATTCCTTCTTTTGCCGTTGTAACAAGTGGAGAACCTTGGTTTCATACCTTCAAGTGGACTAATGATTCTATCGTCCACATTAGTGACTCCATTCTAAAGGATCCCTCCGCTGCTCTTGCCTTAGCTAATGGCATCTGGCTTTCCTCAGATGAGGTCTTGGTGAATGACATGCCTAAGGCTAAGTTAGCCAGAACTATGACTGTCTGGGCTATTGAGGTAATGAACTATCTTACCTTGGATTGGATTTCCTCTTCCAGTCATTAGTTACTTAGTTCTTTTTTTTTCACAAAATGTGCTTCATACGGTAGCCCTGGCTAAAGTGGCTGAGGACCAGACTCACTCTATTCAGAGATTAGAGAAAAAAGTAGCAGAACTGCAGAAGAAAGCTTATTATTTTGAGAGTGAGCTGGCCAAAGCTAAGGAGGCCAATAACGTATGGTTTGTGAAATATAGTGTTGTCGAGGTCAGAGTAGAAGGGTTGGAGAAAGAAGTCCAGAGGTGGAAGGAATCCATTCAGACTAACAAAGTTGTCGGGAAAAAAATACAGGAGAAGTACTCTCAGATCGTTTGTCTGAGGAGTGTTGTTTCTTTTAGGCATGGCTTTAAGCATGCTTCTTTACTCGAAGGTCTGCAGAGGACTCCTGAAAAGTTGGACGAAGAATATGGGGTTACTTATCCATACCCTACTGAGCCCACCAGCCAGAGATGAGGATAAACTTTTTGTTGCCTTAATCAAGGAGGATAATGCCCAAGCCAGGGGCATTGGCGTTTCTTCTTACACCATTGTTAAAGCCCTTAGCCATAACATAACTGCAGCTTTCCAACCAAGCCCTGTTAACCAAAAAACCAAGTAGCCTATGTTAGGATTGTTTTTGTCCATGTGTCATTTTTGGACTTGGTAGAAGTGTTGTTTCCCCAATTTTTGTAAACAACATATGTATGTGTTTAGTTTTTACTTAATCCCTCAACCGGAATGTTTCTTTTGCCCTTGATTTTTTTTTTTTTTTTTTTGAACAAGGTGTTTATGTTATCCTTGGTGCTGTTATGTCCTGAAGGATAAATCAATTTACCCGTCTTTGATTTTTCAACCCAAAGAAGGTTATATCCTCCGTAGCATTAGGCCTTAGAGGATTAAATGGATTTTTCCTGTTTTCGGTTTTTTAACCCAAATAGGGCTACATCCTCGGCAGCACTAGGCCTTAAAGGATTAAATGAATTTTACC